AAGGGAAGAATAAAATGTACAAAAGTACTTATTTTGTTTCATAGGACTCAGATGTGGTCCAGGACAATAGTATAAAGTCTGGCAGAAAAAAAAGTAACCCAGCGCCTTTTAATATCAGAAGATTTAGATTGTGCCATGATGTGTTCAGCATGTGCAAATCATTGCAAACTACTCATTTTGTAAAACAGCCCCCTCATCAAAGCTGCTTTTGTACAAATAGATGATATATATTTATACCCTCCCAAAAAAATACAGCAATCAGACAAAAACATTTAAAAAGGAAAGTCATTTCTTTTTCAAGGAGGCAACAAGTTTGATATGTGACAAACCGCATTCATTTTGCATTACTGTTAGGTAAAGCAAACATTGCTACACAATACAATATATCACATTACTTTTTTGTAAATGTATATAGATTTATTACAGTTCAAAACGTATGTACATACAGAACATGAGCATTCATTTGCAAAAAGTTATATTTAGCAGTGCCAAAAACAGGCAAGGAAAAGTAGTAGGGCTATCAACCTAGTAGTAGGTGCATCAAACTTTCAGTATATGATGGGAGAAAAAAAAACTAAAACCGATTTTTGACATTAACAATTAAGTAAACATTGGTGTCTTTTAATGTACTTAAAATGTATTTCCCTGTATGCAATAAAAAGCTTGTATTATGTACAGTATTAAGAAGCAAACCACAACAAAGTCAATGCCAGATTTGTGCCCCTCACTGCTTATTTACCCTTATACCATCCTAATCCTCCAAGATTTTTTCCATGTCCTTAAAGTAAAACCACTTGCCTTTCTCTTCTCTTAAATCATGTTTTATTGCTCAGGTTAAAGTCTATTCTAATAGTTGAATATTGTCAAGTCCAGACTGGTATTGTCTTAAATATGTACAAAGGTCATTGAGAGAGATTCTGGTTGTTTCTATAAAAATCAAATATCTTGTCCATGCAAAATGCCATCTGAGTGCCTGTTTATCTGTAGATGAAGTTTAAATTGAAGTTTAACTGTGGTCTCCTTCAGGAAAGGAAAAGAATCAGCCAGAACGGGCTCCTGCACAAAAAGTGGGCTGCAAGCAATGCAAATCCTCAAAAAGGAGAGCAGAATGGTTGTCATTCCTAGAACAGCGGGCGTTCAGAGGGACAGGTGTAGGGCTCAATCCAAGGCGTCAGTGGTGAGAAGGGATAAACAAGCCTGAATGAGGCTCCACACCCTACGTATGCTCTGTACCCAGTGCTATGCAGCTTTCTTAACTTCGGAGCTGCCATGTGGATGACATTTGTAATTGATTATGGACCTTACTATAGATCAGTGCAATGTTTCCACATTGATGCATTGTGGTGGACAGGAATCCTTCACGTGGCATGATGCATCCCTCACTTGTCAGGTTTAATGAGCCCTGACCATGTCTACTGTTGGCCGATAACACATACACAGATACACTCTTAACGCCGTTTAATGCATTTGTAACTGTCAATATCTCAGATGGAGGAAATGGTGTACCTGCCAACTTTGCAGATTCAGAAAGAGGTAGTCTTATCATTGTATTTTCTGGAAAATCCATGTGTTACTACAGTACGAATCTAAATTCAGCCTACAGTGACCAAAAGTGTCTTCAGCTACTTCAGACTCAATGAGAATTAAAATTTGAAGAAAAAATCCTTTACATACCATTGCCACTATAATAAAGGAAACGTTTTTTATTTACCAGTATTCAAAACAAGAGACGGCAGCATGGCTTTGTTGACGTCTGCTGTGCACGGCCACTGACAAGCAGACAAAGGCATCAGTGAGGAACCTGGTTCTGGTCTTAGCCAATTCAAACATTTCACTGCAAAGCATCTATTTTTCTTCTCTAATTCCTTACAAATCCTGATCAATGAAAGTTTTCCATTTTCTTTCAAGCTTGCTAAAGAAACCGATCTACTGAACAAAAATTAGCAGTGTGGGCAGGCAAGCACAGGTAAAGTTAAGTCACTCATATCGTATCTAATTTTGTAAGGCAGCCTATTGCTCAGGCTTATTTCAGTAACTCAAGAGTAAATGGTCATTAAAAAAAGTGGCAAACATAGTACGTATTCACTGTATGACATTGTAGTTAAGTATTCAAAAGACAAGAAAATGAATAATGTGCTAATCAAAAGCTAACAAATTAATAAATGGTGATCAGGAAACTATACAGAACATGAAATGATTTACCCTTTAAGGCTGAAAAAAGATTAGGCAAGGTTAGGCACTGCTGCACAATGCTTTTGATAGACTTTTAGATGCACTAGAATATCATCAGACATCTTGGCAGGTGCTAAATGCCAAGTTTTCACTTTTACACCCCCTTCCTGCAACACACTATGATTAGAAATAAAATGAACATGCTTGTTTTATGTACAAGATTGCAAGGCAAGAGATTCACAAGACATCTGTAAAAACAGTCAAAAAATCCAAAAAAGATGACCTTAATGCACACAATATCAATATATGACTGCTAAAACAAAACATCAGTAAATATTTAAAAAAAACGCACTGGGTCACTTAATTTTGTATCCACCAGAAAAAAATACAACTTGGCAAAATAAAAATAAAACAGCAGATATAACAAAGTAACTGCTCACAGCAGAAAGAGCATCGGACTAATTAGACTCTATAAGCATGCCTAGAGCTACATTCCTGGATTTTAAGAAAAGCTTTCTGAGCTTTATAGCACAAAGTCTTTTCTAGTTCCACTTTTATTACCCTGGTTTAATTTGCTACGTAGTACTTCTGTTTTTTTAATGGCACATTAATATGCAGTGAATAAGATAACGAAATTGATTTTATTTCATTATACAGATGTGCTATATTTATGCCCATCTGCTTTGAAGTATTTGCATCTGTACCTTTTACAGCTTTTACTTAAAACCAGGATTGTACTGCTTCGAGGTTTTGTTAAGCATGTATGGAGAAGGATTTGTTTTAGATTTTGTGTTTAGAACTATTTTAGACTTGAATATGCATCTTTTTAATGTCCAAATAATTTGATCTTTAAGAACCACTGACACTGACAATGGTCTTATTTCAGACTTCACAATAGTCTGTGTATTTCCCTTCACCTTTTACAGCATATGTTCAAGAGTTCATAGAGCAGCAATGAATTCTGGCTGGTAGAATAAAGCAGCAATGAATTGTTCCATACCAAAAAGGGGTGTGCTCTCACCTTGCTACACATGACCTCTAAAGATGAAGTGCATGATGTAAACCATTTTGTGACCAGCCACATGAAAATCCATCTTAAGCTGCCACCATAAGCGGGCATTGAAAAAATTAAATACAAAGCAATGAAGCACTGTGGCACTCGCGGCCACATTACATTTTTACAAAAACAAGAGAGCTTTGTTTGGTAACTTAAGATGGGATTTTCATGCACAACCACGGTGTTTTAATACTAATCATGAAAATGCTTAACTGTTAAAAAAACTATTTTGGCTTCTGAATTAAAATATAGCAAATTTGACTGAAAATACCTTACATAAACTGTAATTCCTTCTACTGTCAACTGCATGATATGGGTATTTTAAGAATTGTGAATAAACATAACCAGACCCTTTTTGAGTTTAAGTGTATGGAGTTCAGCGAGATTTAACGAAACGCAGATCTGACAATATTCCATTATAAAAAAAGCAAAAACGTTTTGTATAAAATCTTACTCAAAATACACCCCATGTTAAGAAAAACAAATGCCCCTATTTGTCTAAATGTTTTGTCTAAATGTTACAAAGAAAATGTAAATGAATCAGATATGACCTATTCATGATGCCAGAACTATAAAAAGTGCACAAAACAGCAGCATAATGGGACAGTGTTAAGACGGCATTGCTCAATACACCTAAGCTTTCAGATCTGGTGATGCAGAAACATAAAAGTGTTCAAAAGCACAGGATTCCAAAACAAAATGGTAGCCTTTAAAAGGAAATTTAAATTAAACATTAGAGAATTTATTATACTGTTGCTCTGGGAAGGCCATAACCTTACAGATATATATATAAAAGGTATTTGGCATAATTTAAGAAAGGTTAAGGAACTATGTGATTAAATTCCTTGTGGTGATCTTTAGCTATGCTTGATATGTTCAATTCCACTTGGTAATAATGACAAAATCATCGCCAAACTATTAAGATCTAGCCAAAGGATAGACATAAAATCAAAATTCAAGCACTGCATAAGGATATATACACTGATGTCAAATAACGGTTGTTGGTCTTTTAAATCCCACCACCTTTCATCTCTTTCCCCCCATCCCCATGTGTGATACTGTTATTTTCCGGATGTTTCACTTCAGGAAGAAGAATACAATTTCCTAACCATCTCACTGCAACTTTAATATGACAATTGAATGGTACTCCTGCTAACCATTGAAACAGGTTTCAGAAGGGATGAGAAGAGAGCTGTAGCTTTTTAGAGAACTGATTTTCTGATTAATAAAAATACAATGATTGTTTTAGTATTGATATGGTAACACTCTACGATAGGTGTTTGTATTTTTAATGTAATTAAATATGAAGTATTTCTTACCGAGTTAATATGAAATGCACACGAAGTCACAATATATCTGTAAGTTATTCATATTTTGTTTATTCATCATGAAGTAATCACAGTCACTTACTGTAAAGTGTTACCATATATAGGAGATTTACTGTATTGTTGCAAGTTTGTTTCTTGCATATTTCTAAAACAGAAACTGTTTTAGGAGACAGCATTTTACAATACTACACTTCTAAAGTAAAATGTGAAAAATTAAACTTAAAAAAACACACAGTGAAGTAACAAAACCGGTGGGTGGATTTTAAAGGGAAAAATATAGCTAATGTTAGGATCAAGGCTTTCTCAACTAAACGTAGCTGTTCTTCTTCCTTGATAGGCACTGAATTTGAAATCATGCATGTCTGTTTCATAAAATAATCTGCATCATAAAAGACAATTCTTAAAATTAGTCAGGGGACAAAGAAAACCGGGTTTTTGGCGGCGTTTGGAGGCCCCCCCCCAAAAAAAAAAATTAAAAAATCACTAAAAATGAAAATTTTTTGCACAATTAGATTTTTGTACTTATAATTACCATCTGTAATCCATTAAACTTAATTACTGCAACTTTGTTGGCAATATACTTTTAAATTGAAAGAGAACTGCCATTCAGCAGCTAGTAATTTAATATACATTTATCAATTCTGGCAATGAAAACCTAGACAAACAATTTTCCTTTTTACATGATTTAAAAAACCCCAAAAAAAATCTAAATGGCTATGATTCCTCTATTAGCAGAAACATGTAATGCAGTCTTATTAAAATTGCCTTTTTCTCAGATATATTCATGACAACAATAATGCATTTCTTTATCTTTTTTTACAGTGTATGACACATAGGATTGGGTTTTCAGACCATGGCCCGGTAAGGGCCCTGCATCTTCAGGAACTGAATAATGAAGGAGGGTCCCCCGGCAACAATCTGAGGTGGCAGATGGCTGAGAGGACAGTTCTCAATGCTCATGATTGACAGCTTGCTGCACAGAGCCAGTTCAAAGGGAAGGCTATGAAGGTTGGGGTTATCATTCAGATACAGCTCCTCAAGATTCTCCAGTGTACCTGCAGAAAGCAATACAAATACAGTCTCATAAGCTTTTAAGGGTACTCTAACATGGAATAACTCTAGAATAACACTATTGAGAGAGTAAAAGTTGAAACTACATACTCAAGCAAATGCATTGTGTGCACATACACCTAGATATGACAGAACTTATCATTCCAGTTTTTTTCACGTGTTCTAAATGCCGAATAGAGTCATTACTTCAAATGCCACACTACCCTTCCTGCCAGTTTCATACGGTAAACATAAAGAACTTCAGCAATACAGTGCGAGTTCTTTTACCGATCTCTTCAGGGAGGTGCTGCAAGAGGTTCTCTCCCAGTCCTAGGTGAGTCAGGTTGGTAAGATGACCGATCCCTCTGGGCAAAGTGGTCAGCTGATTATTAGTCAAGACCAGTTTCTGCAAAAATAAAGAGAACAGTCCATTCCCAACTTAAACTCAACTATTAAAAGCTGAATTAAAAAAGCAAGATTCGTCTAATTATTTGAGAGCTTATGCTACTGTTCACATTTGTTACCAGATTACAGATTTTTATGTCGATCAGTACTGTGTTAAAACATGCTATTGATGGCCTCCCGAGTGGCCCAAACATTTAAGTTGCTTGCCTGAGTGCAGGCATAACTCTGTGAACATGGCTTTGAACACGGGTCATGTCACTAGCCTACTGTGACTGGGGTGCCTCAAGCAGGAGTGGGATTAACTGGCTGGGGTTTAAGTGACACTGAGTCTTCTGTGCTTCCCAGGCGCATGCAGACATGCAGTGCTGGTGGTGAGGGATGTTTCTCTTCCAATCAGCGCCTGAATGTTCAGTACATTGCTATATTGCTACTCAATTCAAAAACGAGTAGCTTGAAGGCAGGCAAGTCAGAGGAATCTGCTTACACTACCTCATTCTCCCACATGTGCAGGGAATCTTAGTTGCGAGTTGAGACATAAACCAGATTACAATGCTGAGACAACTGGAGGTATAACAAACTATCTGCAATTCTTTTTAGAAAAATGCACACCAAAGAAATGTAATTTCTCTGTAATTGCATTCATCTGTTATTTCAGATCATCTGTTTATCAAATAAAAATTAAAATACATTCATATCCACAGATTAATCTAAAGTATCTTTCATTTTAATATGACACCTTTTAATAACACTTGACAATGAAATACATAGCTGCTGCTCACAAGGATGATCTCAAACTTCCACATGATACCACTAATTATGAAGTTTCATAAACTGTTACCCTTAACAACTCAGCAAATACGGTTTCAAATAGACTATTTTTGCTCTTTTTTTAAAGGAATGTAAAAATGATGTTTGTTCACAGCTGTAATGTGCAGGATTGTCATTATAATAATCGGGTGTTTAAGGTAACACTGGAATTTGCCTGAGATTGTGAAAGTGGTGTCATAAGTAAAAAATAGTTCTAATGTGTGGATTAAAATGACAAAATCATAAGATCTGTTTTTTTTTTTAAAAAAGAGTAAGAAAAGATGGTAGGAGCAATTTAAAAGATTTACAGTGTTAAATTAAAAAAAACAGACAAACAAAAAACACTGGTATGTGTTTAGTGCCATAAAATTTAATGCATTTCACTTGTACACACCACCCTTCAGAAGAGGAAGATCATCCCAGGTAACCTTACTTGTAAATCTTTCAGGTAGGCAATTTCATTAGGGAGGGATTCCAGCTTGTTTTCCTCCAAATCTAGCTCTCGCAGTTTCCGCAGTTGACCTATACCATGGGGCAGCTTTTTCAGAAGATTGTTCGACAAGATCAGTCCCTACAAGAAAAAATATTTTTTAATCTGTTTCTCCTCTTCATACATAGAAAATCAAATTCAAATCACTGCTTCAATGCCTCGATGAAAACTTCCAACACATTATTTGAGACAAACCTAGGTTTTAACCATGTCACTTAGAATGGGGCTCATTTTAAAATAACAAATGGTTTGACATTTCAGTATCTCATTTTACTTAAAAATGACTATAAACAAATAAATTAATGATGCATAAAGCTATGTCACAGCCAGCAGGCGTATCACTCTGCATCTCACATCTGTCAACCCACTGAAGCTAAGCAGGAGTGAGCCTGGTCAATACCTGGATGTGAGACCTGAAAAAAACTAAGGTATATATACAATAGCGACAGGGAACACTATACTGTAAAAAGGCACCACCCTTCGGATGAAACGTAAAACCGAGGTCCTGACACCGTGGTCCTTAAAAATCCCAGGGTGTTTCTCGAAAAGAGTAGGGGTGCAAGCCGGGTGTCCTGGGCAAATTTCCCATTGTTTCCCTCTATACCACTCTGCTCTCCTCCCCACTGATAGATGTGTGGTGTGTGGTTCTGGCGCACTATGGCTGCCATCGCATCATCCAGGTGGATGCTGCACATTGGTGGTGGTGGAGAGTTCCCATTACCTGTAAAGCGTTTTTGAGTGGAGAGTCCACAGCACTACGTAAGCAATTATGATTAATAATTATAAAAATTCTAAGGCCTCTTATTTTATTTACATTCATCCATAAGTGGATACTCTGATGTGACGGGCAAACTCTGATTGTATACAATGCAAAAAACAAGTACAGAAAAATTCCTAGACTTCACTGACACCTAGCAAGCTTAATGAGTCAAGTGGCTTCTCCTCAATAGTTACCTGTCTTGTGTTCTTAGAGGTAGTAATAAGTTCAAGTAAAATAAGACATTTAAACAAATGGTAGACTTAAAATTCAATGATTTTGTTGCATAAAAACGTTAATTCAATCAACTTTAAAAACTACCCCATTTTGGCATGGGTAACTCAAAAAATGGGATACAAATGCTAAGAAAGCAATCTAATCTGCAACATAAGAAAGCTTTTCTTTGTATTCATTTGTTTAATGCTCTAATTCAGTTCAGGGACTTCCCTCCTGTGATTAGCTCAGAGAAATGCTAACTGTTGACTGAAACTCCTATACAGCTTAAAATGTTAATTTGTCAATTCACGACCATGATTAGTTCAAGGAGTTCCACAAACATCGGCTATAAGCATTTTCTCAACAAACATTAATAAAAGAAGTTGTGTATCCTGAGATGCCAGATCTGGGAAAGCCTACCTCAAGAGAGACAAGACCACACACATCCTCCGGAATCTTTGTCAGCTGGTTAGTGGCCAGGTTCAGCTCAACCATACTGGTCCAAGTTCCAAAGTCCAGTGGAAGAGATGTTAGCTGATTGTCCTAAATAATTAATAAAATAAATAAACAGACAAAAACCCTTTTTTGTGCACTCTTTTTTATTTCCTCTAAAAAATGAAGGTCATGAAAATTAAACTGAATCACTGCTATAGCCTGATTAACAGGAACACATTTTCTCAAACTAGGATCCCATTAAAACCCTTCAGATTTTCCTGAATGTGAAAATCAATTTAACATCCTTTCACAAAACAATTTTGTAATGACTTGCCAGGACAGTCTTCCCCTCTGTCCTGTACTGGATAAAGCGGTTAGAAAACTGATGGGTGGATAGATGGATGGAATTCTGTATTCTGCTCTTGTAGTGACATGTTTTGGTTTGGATTGGATTTAGCAAAGCGAAGCAGATCTGGATTTGAAAATGTAATCCTCCCAGTGCTAGATTAATCTCTCCAGGCAGTTCCAGCCCAAATCCCATCTGATGGAATGGAAAAGAGCCCTAATGCTTGCAGGATGAACTGGATTGGTGAAAATTAAGAGTCATCTTTTACAATTCTCCAGTTCTTTTTAGAACAAAAGCTGGGTGACACTCCCATCATAACAAAACTAACTAGAAAATTTACATATCAAAACTCCCATACTATAAAAAATACTCGCCAACAGAAGTGAACTCTTATAGATTTAGGTAAAAATGCAACATCATAGTTTCACATAGAAAAACTCTGGAAAATAGAAAAATACATTGTGGATCTCAAGCTACTTTACAATTTCAGTCATTTGCCTTTTTATTTAACCTATGCAAAATTGAGCACAAGCCACTTCAAACCAGATCTCTTTCTCCATAATCACCTTTGTTAATTAATGTCATCATAGCAACTTTACTGCAAAGCACAATTACATATAGCTTGGGTTGGATTGAATTAGAAACTAAATGTTTAAAATAATAAAAAGCTAAATAAATAAAACCTTAAAAGTAAAATCAAGAGAAATAGTTTTGTCCATGTAATGCACAAACTCTTCTCAAAAGTTTCCATATATACACAATATATTCTTTTACATGATTTCTGGTATAAAAGTGTTTACATAAAAGAAAAATGATACACTTAACCTTACATTCAGAATGCACAAATATTTTGGTTTTATTCAAAGTGTTATCTTGAAAATATGCTTTGCCAAAATTGTGCAAAATAAATGTTTTTTGATGACTAAATCCAATTGCATGTGAAGGCTAGTGCTAATTTGTACTCTCTCATATGCTCAGGTTTTAATGCTACCAAATTAACATATGCAAGCACACAAGCCTACAAAAAGGGGGAATATTTCAGACTGTTTATATTCAACCGATTTAGCTTAGTTTACTATTTTCTCCAAGATAATTTTATGTTATAATCATAAAGATGCTCTCAAAGGACTAGCATTAATACTCTGCTTCAGATCCCAAAGCAGCAAAGCAGAAACTTGCCGGTTTTGCCAGTTGCAGTGCCTGGCTTGTTGCGAACATGAATACCACAACATGGACAATGCTGTGATCGGATAAGACAGCAATGGGTCACCTGAGTTCACTCATTTCGCAAAAAGGGCTTCAAAGAGACGCAGTACCCCCATTTCACTGGTATAAACGAAGAGGAAAAAAATACACAAACAGACTGCCAAACTAGTGCCTCATTTTTCTCACTTAAAACACCTTAACACAAGTTTTGTTTTTCCAGGCCTAAATTTGCAGTTAGGCTATGTACATTACCTTCATGTTCAGCTTACTCAGCACTTTGGCCCTGGAGAAGATGCCAAAAGGGATCTTGTTGATACGGTTGTGTTCCATGTTGAGGGAGTAGATGGTGGAGAACTGTGAGGGACCTCCCACAGGGTAGGACTGGAAGCAGTTTCTGGCCAGCGTTAAACTCGTCAGGTTTATCAGACTAGAAAGGAGACCCTTAGGAACGTGGAGACAAATCGAGTGAAGGGGCACATTTAAAAGTTGTGGGAGTGAGGAAAAAGCTTTTCAAGAAACAGCTGCATGAGATCCTTGGATGAATGAACTATGGTCAAACAGGCTAGATGGGCCAAAGGGCCAACTCTTATTTGTAAATCTTCTTAAATTCTTAATTATACAACTTGTATGTTGGTTTTTGGGGTCTCTGAAAAGAATTTCATTAACACCGCTGAAATGGAATTTCAAAACCCATTCTAATGTGAAATACAAATGCACTTTGAAAAAAGGTGTCCAAATACCACACTACAGATTAAAAGATTGTGGTTCAGAAAGTGTTTCAGAAAAAAGTGCTTAAATAGTATTTCTAGTGCACTCTATAATATCATATGGCACAGGGAATTGTTGCATGATCAGTTTTCTAGAAAAAGAAATGTATTGTTGTTTAGATATGAATGTTCCCTCTGTAGCTGAGGGATCCACAGACTGTTATGAAAGGGACCAGTCTAAAATGTTCCATATCATATCCAGGAAATATTTTGTGAATGTTTATGAATTAGCCGTAAACAGACTATGTACATTCATAACCTCATCTCAGGGATTTAAGCCCTTAAACTCTTGAGAATCTCTTCAAAAAATAAAATGAAAGACAATATGCTATAGTTTCCTGATTACTTTATCTTATTTTTTATAAAAAGCTCTTTTTTACTTCTTCACACTTCTTTGTAGTCTTGCTATTCCAGCAAAAAAAATTACTTAATTAAAAAAAAAATTGAATTAACAAGCAATGTGATGCAGGGCTATCATTGCTACACATAATTTTATTATAATTTTTTTTTATGATAACTCCTATTTCTTTAATTCACAAATTATTATTTTCAATAGAACAGTCTTTTACTTAGATATGATGCAATGTCAAAAAATGAATGAATTTAAAATACTTAAGTGATAAAAGTATGTATGTAGACATAACTTCACTAAACTCTCAAGTATTTTATCATACGCCACCTTGGAAGTAATTGAATACTGACTGAACGCACCTGAATTATCTTCTTGGTGCAACAGCTTATGCTTTTTTGAAAAGCTGTTTGAATTGTTCAGAATACAGATGGTTTCCTAATGTGAGGAACATCAGATTTAAAGAGCTGCTAAAGACAAACAATGTATGACCTATTGATCAGCCACAGAAAATCTTGGTTTGCCTTTAAATGTCACAGGAGTCTATAAAAAGGAGGTTCTGTGTAAATGTTGTGGTGTTTTGGTTAAGGATTCTAAGGTTTTAAAACCCACTGTTTTAGAAAAAAATAGTATAATCTTAAAGGTGCCACAAATTACCTTTAATACTATGACACATCAGATGCCTCTTATAGCTTGCTTCTTAGATTATTTATAATTTGATTACTTATAAACTGATATAACCCACAAAAAAGCTATTTAAAATTAAAAACCATGAAACGGCCATCCAATCTAACTCTTGAAATTAGATTAGATTTAGAAGACCTTTATTATCCCAAAACTGGGAAATTCATTATATGTGAATGTGATGAAGTGATCACATCATTATAGCAAAAGCAAAAGTACTTCTGTAGTGCCCAAATTACAGACTTATACATGCATATATTTATACATGAACTTACAGTACTGTTACTTAAACATGTTAGAAAACCCATTACCTAGTAAAAGTTTTACCCCTCTTAGGGTTCACCTCTTCCAATTTGTTATTTATTTATTAGTTATTCAGGTAATACAAGTCAAGCATGATTACACATTCTCACCACCATTTAATGTTCGAAAACAGCAAGCAAAAAATATCATTGCTATCTGAAGGGAAGCATGCCCCTATCTAAAAGCATTCCTTTTAAAAGCAACACTTTTAAAAGCTGGTTGACATTTAAGACATTTTAACAAATGCTGACTAAATGTTATTACATAATCAGCATTTGGCATGAAAAAATACTTGCAAGTTGCAGAAGTGGAAGCCTCTCCTTTCTCGGGTTCCATTTCGGTCCCTGTTCAGTTTGTACATTTATTTGTGGTGTAACATGTTCCTGCACATTCTCAAAAGAGTTTCTATTTCTCCCCTCAGTTTCTAAGGAATTTATTTACCACTTACCTCTGGTAGCATAGAGATATTGTTGTTCTCAAGGTTTAGCTCTTCCAGTTCTCTGCACTTTGCTAATGATTTAGGGATTGCCGAAAGCCTATTGTACCGCAGACCCAAGCGATTTATGCTCGACAAATTACCTGAAACATAAAAATGAGAAATGAAGTACACCAGATTTAGCTAAGTTAGACTTGTCTCAGTATTCTGTCCCATGTCTTAATGGCCTTGTGATTTCTGATATTCTGGTAATGACAACTGATGGAAGGTGTTGTTGAACAAAGCCCAATCTGATACTGATAGGTTTTCATTTGGATTGAAGAAAATAAAAATGTATTTTTCCCCCCAATTGAAAAAGAAAAGACCATAAACTCATGACTGAGTGCTGCAGCTTTAGATTCAGCTGATAAATAACTAAAACACCATTTACACAATCACACAATTAACAAGTACTGAATCGTCCTTACAAACTATACCATGCTTACAAATCAACCACGCTTGAAAACTGCAATGTCATTTTGAGGCAAAATGTTACAAAAGGAAAGTTGCAGTGTAAAGAACTCAGTGGGGGTGGTTAAATGTTGAACAAAAAGAACCACTTTCTAATTTTTTAACTAAAAAAATTAAAATTTGTCAGATTTTTTTCAGTTTCTATACAGTCTAAATACAGAAAATCCTCGTTTACAGCACGTGGCTTACTTACAGCCTCTCTGTGCATGACAATCTTAGACTGAACTGTATTCAGTCTAAGATTGTCATGTATTTTTCACATAGCAGCAAGCAAGCTCGGGTGCCGGTGGTTAAAATGTCAATTATCAGTGGGCATTGACATGTTTTTAGTAAAGAACTCCCCGGTTACACCAGGAGGCAGGGGATTAGGAGCACACAAGGGGACCTCCTTATTTTGAGTGTGCTCTATAACTGAATAAGACTGTGCTGCGAAAACTGGACTATTTTTTCCATTAGAGGATGTCCTTCCTGTTGTGGACTTCTGTGGTCTGAAAGCAAGAGGACAAGGCAGCTGGTGCTGTTGATATCAATGAGGTGGAGCTCCCACAAGGGTGAATCTTTAAAAATAAACCCGTCATGAAAAAAAGGTGTTTTGTGCTACACATCCATCAGCAGATTACATTATGAAGTGTTAACTAGAACCGCTTTCTCCAAAAAATGACAGCTTTAAGAATTACATTTAAAATGACATTATCAGCAGCTAATTTTTAAGTGCAGTTAACAATTAAGTGGCTTTGAACGTATGGCATGACTCCTGCTTCAATAATGAATACAAGGGCAGAAAAAAAAACTTCTCTACCAAAGCCTCAAAGCCTGCAAAAGTAGCATGTACAGGGTGTGTGTCATGTATGTACACTTCATCACAAAACCCCACTAAACCTGAAAACCTCAAGCTACATTTATAGTGCATCTCTTTCAACATTAAACATTACTGAATGCTCTACACATGCTTTACACCTCTTGCATTCAAATCTTAATATTAAACCATTTTAAATAACATTGTATTTCCCCATGTTGCTTTACATGTAAAGCCCAAACTTGCTAGGTATTCCAAAAGTCTTGCTGACCGCACTGAAAGGATACACACAGAGCAGTGTCACCCAGTTAGGTTACTACAGTTTACCAAAACATCCACTGAAAAACATTTCAAAGAAAAAGAAAATACCCACAGAAAGTAGGAAAACAGTTCAAATTACAGCAAGAGATGGTAGCAGGCACTCCATTAAAGAGTCATTATTTGAAATCGAGCTAGGTTGTGTTACAAAACAGATGTTTCACGCCTTAGCATTCAAGTACAAATTGATGCATGTTAATTTTACAAAAACAAGCTTACCTATTGTTTCTGGAAGGTCCAAAAGCTCATTGTGCTGTAAATCAAGGTTAGTGATTTGCGTGCAATTTCCAATCTCTTTCGGAAGGTGTTCAAGTTGATTGTGAGCTACGTCCAGTGTGATGAGGTTACATAACTCCCCTAAAAGGGCAAGAAGGAGGTTAATGTGTTATTCCATACACAAAAGAACTTAAGATCTAGAAATATTCCTTAGAGAAGCCACTGCAGCAGTGCATTTTTGACTTGGTTCATTAAAAAGTATTTAAAGCAATTCTCAGCCAAACAAGCATATCCCACTTATCTTATTATTTAAATCTCCTTTATGTTGGAGTAATTCTGAATGGAATTGGACAATTTACTGAAAAGTATAAACTACAGGGGCATTAGATAATGATGATTAGACTTTAATCATTTTCTGTACTCTGATGGTATATTAAATAAGAGTCCGGCAAGATGATTTAAGCTCAGAATACAGTGCAATTTCTTATAATCATATACTTCAGTTGTCTGCCAGAATTACTCAGAATGACATTTGGGTGCATTTGTGTTCTGATAAATGCAGTGATAGTAATTCACAATAAATTACTAAACACAGAGGAGTTCCCAGTTGGCCCAACCAGTAAAGGTGCTGACAGGTTAGAGGCTCTATGGCAATGGTGCCAATCCTTGGTCCTGGAGGAACACTATGTCATCTGGCATTTCAGGACTTAACTAACCTGCTTGCTAATTTCAACTTTTATTTAATTTGTTTCTTTGGTCAGTTCCATCAAAAATACCCAACATCAAGGGTATTTTCTCCCCAGTCAATATACAGAACATTACACTGTTCTCAGCCTGCTGGCCATTATTTCTGACTAAACAGCTCTTATTTGTTGATCAATCAATCATGAACAGTCAAGTGGGCATCACACTTACAGATACCTGAATGAGATCAGTACTGAAACTCAAAAACTGGGGCAGCGCTGGTACCACCTGCAAATTTATTTTCTAATAACTGAAAGCTAATTTCACAAACTAAACAACCGAAATCAATTAGCCTGTGATTAAGAACTTGGTTAGTAAAATCAGACGAGATGGTTTTCTTCCCAGACAAGGCTGGGAACCATTCTGGCCAGGACTCTCTGCAGCACAGTTTGTTCACTGTCACTACCACTGCCAGGGAGGGAAGCTGGGATTCAAATAGGGTTCTTATGGACCAATGCCAGCCTATCCCCTGCAATGTTCCTGGTACCCGCAGGCCTGTGGTAAAAAAAAAAAGTGAAGGATATACTGTAACTCTCCTTCAATCACTTACGAATCTTCTGTAAGTGGCTAAAAAACCCAGAGTGTGTCAATGGGTAGGAGAATCCTGTCTCCTCTACCTTCCCATGTTTGGAAGGGTGTCTTCACTGTTCACTGTCTTTAATGTAAAGAAAACTGAGGATTTCTAATTGTATAGGTACATAATAACGGAACAAGTAAAAGGATTATTCCATGCTGAAAAGAGAAGAAGCCTGTGGAGCCTTCTTCAGGTATGTGTAATAACGAGCTACACCAGTATGTAGTAACTGTTGTTTCCTTTTAATAAAAAGCAGAGAGCTAGCCAGTCTTGCATAAATGTCTTGGCAGTGTTATGCATGGATGCCTATCAGTTAAGAAATTGTATTTACCAAAGTAAAACACCAGAATTATGGACACTCTGTCTTCAAAAGACAGAATTCACAAGGCAGTATTCACTTCAAAGGCAGGGAAATAAAACTTACGTAAAAACAAAGCGTATTTAATGAAAACACAGTTTTGGCGCTCCCCCATGGCTCAACAAGTGAAGAAACCCAGCTGTCCTTTACTACAGACATTGCTGGTTCAAGCTTAGGCTACGGCATTCGCAGCCTGGGACCACAAGTCCCTGGGATGGCTGAGCCCTGCCAGGGGTGGATAAGCAGGATATCATTAGCTTGTCATGTGCCTGCAACCGTGCAGCGCTGTTACTGACAGCTGCATTACTCCTGTAATCAGTGTTAGCTCTCCCATTCAGGTCCAGCTATGAGAGCTGCTGTGGCGAGCTGAGCTGATTAACCATTGGTAATTTCAAACTACATAGGGAAAAGAACAAGAAAAAAAAAGATGATTCTAAATGAAATATACAACACCAATGTGATGATAAATGTCAACATTTTAGATCTTGTTTATTAAATAAAATGAACCAGGATGTTTACCAAAGATTTTGTACTTCTTTCTCCTGCTTCTTTATTACTACATCTACAGCACTTGGGCCTACCAAAAGGCTCAACCAGTAAAGGATTTCCCCAAGTGCAGGCTGAGCTCTAAGATCAGGGTTCCAGCCCCTGGGTCAGGTCACCATCAACTCTGACAAGAGCTCCCCAATTGGCTGAGCAGCACCAGCGCTAATCATACGCCATGTGGCCTCCTCCATTCAGTGAACTTCCAGAAGGGAGTGGCGCTGGCTGTGAAGTGTTAAAAGCCAAGTGTCTCACAGACGGGCAGGTTGAAGGAGTCTGCCTGCATCTCCTCATTGCCCTCTGTGTGCGAGCACAGCAACACGCAAGCATGACAGGGCACTTTTCTTAAACACTCAGCTTTCGGGCATAAGGGGCAGATAACTGGAAGACCAAAGCGGTTATATTTTTTGTGCTACGACTGCAAAGCTTACCTATCTCAGCAGGTAGCTGCTTAATTTTGTTCTCGCGGATGCTCAGCATGGTGAGTTTGGACAGATTTTTTATATCCTTCTCCACAGTAGTGATGCGGTTAAAGCGCAGGTAAAGGGTGGTGAGGGAAGATAGCCTGTAGACCACCGGCGGGATCTCCCGCAGTTTGTTGTGCCGAAGGTCCAGCATGCGCAGCTTCTTCAAGTTGTCGAGAGAGTCTGGCAAGCTGGTGAGAGAGTTCTCACTTAAAGCCAGAGTCACCAGGCCCGAGAGGCAGCCCACCTCAGCAGGTAGGCTCTGAAGCTTGTTACTGTACAGGTAAAGTTCTGCCAACTGCGTCAACTCCTTGATAGACGTGGGAAGCAGGTGTATGGACCTCTTCGACAGGTCCAAACGCATCGAGTTCTCCTCCCGGCACTTATTGAGCTCTTTGATCACTTCGGCATTGCTGGATTTTTTGCGAGTCCCCGGTGCTGGGTTTGGCCGCTTTATCGTGTTGTCCACAGAAAAGGCCACCGCAGGCAGAGCCCCACTAGTGTCCTTCTTTCCTTCTTTGGCATCTTTCCCTTTGGTCTTAGTTTCCTTGCCATCTTTACTGAAGCTGCTCAAGGCTTTGGCCTCCTTTTCCCTTTCCTTTCCCGAAGGACCTTTGGAGTCCTTCTCTTTCGAGTCCTTGTCTTTTCCTAAAGTACTACTCATAGCGGCACCACCTTCACCCAGCTGCACATGGACCCTGGGTCTCTCTTGTTAATGCTTGTTTGTAAATCTCTACAGAGATGGAAAACAAAGGGATGGAGTCTTTCATATATACATACATACATGTATATATATAAAAAAGCAAAAGCCCTGCGATACAAAGTTCTTAGAATTCCAGGGGAAAGCAAATGAGTCAAAGCAGCTTATCTGTTGTGACATCCATCTGCCACATACTTAATTGAACCGCACGTGAGCCCCGGTCTGGGGTGAAGCAAGTTCAGCTGTGAAGGGTCACCCAGGTTTGCATCCTCAGGATTCTCTGCAGAACAGAAAGAACAGAGAGAAGAACTGATCATTTTCGCCCCGATGAACTATTGTCAGAAATGTAAATACTGGTAGAATGTAGTTATCTCACTCAATGTTATGTTATCAGGCAAATGGTTCTTGCGACCACCGTTCTGTTCTTTCTGAGATGCTGGGAAGCCTCCCCGTTTTGAGTTTTACTGTTAAAAACCTGTACATTAAAACAAGAGGCAAGAGACTATCTCAAATGTGATTTCCTACTTGGCACAATAATAACCAAGAAAAAATACATAGTTCTCAATCCTACTGTACATTGTCCATATTATAATTTATATTAAATTAATATGCCTATAAACAGTATCTGTACATTGTCCATAAGAAAACTGGGATTTCACTAATGCTATACAAATTTGCACAAAACTTGATAAACTCATTTAACGTTAATCCCATCACATACTTATCTCACAACATACTCTTTACATAAGAAAACACTAACAGTAGAAACATTATCCAAATGCATATCCGCATCATAGCAAAGATGATCATTCAAAATCGAGGTATTATGTCATCAGTGAAAAAAAACACACAGGAGGTAAAGAAAGACAGAATTTAAAAAAACACCCCTAAACTGTAATGGTGCATTCAGTATTTTGTCTTTGATGAGATTAAAATTGGTGATTAAAGCCTGCATGTAAATACTGAAATACTGATCAGAAGTCTTTCAATTTAAGGGTAATTTTAAAATCCCACCTTGTCATATGGCCAACCTATGCAAACAGCAAACTGATAAATAGAATTCCTCTGTATTAATGAATTCCTTTCAAAGGCGAATGGAAAAAAAACGTTCAAGGTTTAGCTGAGGAAAGCAAACAGAACTGGGCTTTAAAGCACAAAAACTCAGTGACCCCGATTTCCATATTTTAACAGCTTCCACTGGGTGTTGCATGGATACCACCATGTAAGAATTAATTAAAATCTCAGAAAATAGTAAACCATACACTACCAATAGTGTGATTACATTTAACTACGGATAAAAACTATTAAATAAAACCCATAATTTAGGTCTACACTTCCTGATGTCTTATATCACAATAATAATCCTTGTGCCAGGGGAATTCTGTTTTTTTTTCCCAGAAGAAGTAAAAAGCAAATATCATTTATCACGGTATTTTGTGGTTCTGCATTTAAGATAAATGGAAACTTCATCATTGTGATAAAGAGTTTTGAAATAAATAATAACTGGATACATATGCAGTCTTATAACTTGGCATCAGTTATTTATTATCAAACTGTTTATGAAATCTGAAGGGAAAATAACAGACATTTCAACAATTTACTCTATCTGAAGAGACTTATCGATACTGTATACTGTACTACAGAGTTCAAAGATAAATAAATGCTTGAGAAAGTTCTAATAAAAGCTGCTGAAAGAAAAAAATATTCATATATAAACTTTCTGCATCTTTAAAGCATCTTCATTTTTTTAGTTTCTTGATATTTCTTTTCTGTTGAATCACTGAATACAATTCACACAAGAGTGCTTAAAAAAATTATTAAAAAAACCTATTTCAAGCAGTACACTATAATGTTTCAACTAACAATGACCGTGTTTTATTTGAAAAAAAAAAGACTATATACTTTATAATTTCCTCTCAAGACACTGTTCTATTTTTGCATGCAATGAAAAATATACATGATTTCCAAACCCATTATTTTCTGTGAAATCCAAAGATGAGAAACCCATTACTACCGTCAGAAAAAATAGTACACATATACAATAAGACCTGATCACAAAAATGAGACTCACATTTGTTGTTTCCTCCTGTGAATGAGGACTGTAGCACCATACAAAGTACAGTATAAAGAAACATATATATCTTCCAACGCTTAAGAACCAACCACATACTGACATTCCGAAAAGGTAGGAATTATCTTTGTTCGCTACTTCTGAAAAGATGATTAGCAGAATCCAAAATACCTTTTCCACCCTACCAGTCACAAGGTTGTACATAATCAAAATTGTAAAGTAAAATCATTAAAACAAAACACTTAGCAACAGCGCAGGTGTCAGCTGGTCCTATTAATAGGTCATTTGCACCCTCTCACATTTAGCTTACTTGAAAAGAATATTCTTGGCTACAGATCAGAACAGTTAAAAGGTCAATACTGCTGAGTTTAAACTTTGGTAACAATCCTCAAAGCCAAAGCCCCCTACAGACAGCGAAGTCCTTCCAGCTAGGCAATAGATCCCAGGCCCCCATTTACATCCTCTGTAAAGGTCGGTGAATAAACAGCTTTCAGATCAGCCTCCATTTAAAAAAAAAAATCTAATGTATGTCCGTTCCTCAAGATGCTCTGTTTAGCTTTAGTTATTGAGCAAATCTATATCTGTATAGCGTCTTTTTGTTGACAAAATACAATAACGGTTCTAGCCTTACTAAGAGCACAAGCTTTTGTAGCTACTGTATACCTTCCTTTTCGCCAAGTATTGCTTATGTGTATATTTTAAAGAGGAGTTGCAATCGGATATCAAACTATGATTAAGAAATTCACTCCCAACTGGTTTCTTCTTTGAAGAACAAGGCATCATTTTCCTCTATGTTTAGAATGGTTGTGGTGAAACAGCAGCTGAGAAGCCTTAATACTCAGTAACATCTTTAAGTTGTTGTTATTATTATTCATTTAGTCACAGTCAAAACACTCCAACATCAAAATTACTTATAAACAAAAAACAACATAAAAACAAGACAGTCTATACAAATAACCAAACATTTGTATTTTGTAGATCTAAGCAAGATTGTACTTGATTACGCAACCTGCCATAAGTGATGATATTTACACCTTTTGTCTTTTAAGTGCAAAGATTCTTATTTTTTAAATATAATCTCTCTGCAACAGAATACTGCACTGCTATGTATGTCCTAAAACAGGACTTCAAAGTGTCTGTATAATATACATCATGATCAAGGACAATTGTTAGCCAGCACAGTGCATGGTCTTTGCAGAATATATGGATATAAATGAATGTCGTGGCCAGGCAGAGCTGTTGAGGAGTATTTCAGTATAAATAACTTAATATTATTGCTCATTAGGATTCTTCATCTGTAATCTTGTTTTGGGTAAATAAAAGATATATGTATAAATTAACAGCACACTGTTGGATGAGCATTACATTAACTACAAGAACTTGAAAGCACTTTTAGTACTTGCGGTACCCATCTGTATTACCCGTGTGTACTACTGCAATTTTTTTATTGCACAGAACATTCAGAGTGGTTACTATATTATAGTAATGGGATGGAGTCAGCTGGTCCAAAATATTTTTTTAATCTGATGGTATGACCCTAAAAGTGCACCAGATGTTGTTTTTCTGTGGGACATTAAAGCAAAGGACAGGCTGTCTCTTCTGTTCAAGTGGCTCACAGACTCATCCTGCGTGCTCATTTAGATAAATATTTGTCTACTAACTAAAGCTCTGGGATGGATGTGCTGTCCTACTGCCAATCCTTTGTAAAAAAAAAAACATACATTTGCAAGAATGTAATTCCCCCAAGAACTTATAGATGACTAAAAGACAGACCTAAAACAATTTATATACATGAAATCACAATTAACACAAATTATTTTGTGTTAGCTCTACACTCTTCATTTAATAACCACTCTTCATATATAAACACTTCATATAAAATAATTAGTTAAATAAATTTTTTCATTGAACTGTTTAGCCTGCTTCAGGCATGGGGGAAATCAAAAGACTTAAGAGCACACACTGCAAAAATTGAACTTAAACCAAAGCACAGAACTAAAACTGCACTAGAATACAAACTCATAACAAGAAAAACACAAGTTTAAACCCGTTGTTAAATACAATCACTGATGCTAACCAAATAGCCCTTACTAATTTATTAAGATTCCTTGGAGTGTACCTATGTCAAATCCAAAGCTACTAATGCAACATGAAAATTGCAGAAGTTGCAGAGAGTAAAAGAGAAATATAATATTACTTCAGGTTAGGATTTCTAGACTTCTGGGTTTAACTCAGTGAAAAGTCTGCATGCAGAGATCACGGATATCACACGTTTTGCAACCAGACAGTTTCAATGCAAACCCACAGTTAACCACATGCTTCACTTAAATATTACAATGCCAGATTTCCTCTCAACTTAAGTATCAGACACAACAGTGGAAAATTATCTTTTCTTTTTAGCATGAAAAAAAGATCGTAACACTAATATTATAACAATTGATTATTGTCCCATCACCCTCATATATTAGCGGCACCTTGACATGATGCTTCTATGAATAAAGCTGCTGTATTTTTAAACTAAGGATTTAAAAGGCCTTTTTTTTCCCCAATCAAAGCAGTCGATCCTCTGCACTTAAAAGGTGCAGCTGCAGGCTAGTACAAGCAAACAGGAATTCCTGTCACGACTGAACGGCTGGGGACAGTCCAGAATAATGTGAAGGTGCCACTGGCTGATGCTGCAGAGGCTGAGACACATGCTTCAAGAACAGCATGGCTGTTGGCACACTGTGAATAAATGGCACAGTTACTCCAATACGAAATTAAGTCTGAGCAACAGATTAGTAGTAATAGCTAGGAAAACCGCATTAATGTCGCAGGCCTCAATAATGGACCAATCACTGAGAAGAAGTTTCACAATACACTTGGGTGCTACAGCACAAGGCTCAGCTTCTCCTGCTGCTTTATGAACTTGTCAGATAAGCGTTCTTCAACTGCGGTAAACATTTAGCTCATGTGCTGTTATCAAGTGATTTGTTTTGCCTGACCAAGTAGATGTCTCTTTAAAACCTGAAAAGTGAAACTGCCTACTCATACCAGCTTTGTATTTTCGCTCATAGTCTAAAACAAATGAGTGCTAGTCCTAGGATAGTTTGGTCACTCGCCCTGCTTCTGAACAAGCAAAATTACAAGAATACTTAATTATATTTAAGTTCTTAGTGATTGTAATTAACTAAAACTCCATCACAAAGTATATTGGCACAACCCTCACA